TTGAGAAAATTAAAGAAAAGATGTTAGGTGGGTCTCATGTATTGAGAATGTTAGGGAAAACCTTAAAACTATGGGAAAAAAAAGGAGTCGCCATGGAGAATTATGTAAAAAGAATTAAAATAAATAGGCTAATTTTACTCTGTATTTAGCATAGTATTAACTATTAAGTTGTGAATATATATTAAAAAAATAATTTTTAACTTTTTATACCATACTTCATCAATCACTGTTACAATAAATAACTTTCTAATAAATACCTCTAACCAAGTGCATAAGAAAAGGAAGCTCAAGACAAAACAATGTATATATTAAACCATCCTTAAAACTTTTCTCTGTAAATGCAAAATACTTTTTCCTTACCAAACTCACCCTTGAGATGATTTGTCTAAAACTTTTTTTATTTAAAAAAAAAAAAGAAGATGAGTTATTACCAACATTTTTCGGCAATTTTGTAAATAACATGATATAATATAATAGTAATTTGTATGAGGTTTTTCCATTTAACAAGACAAACGAATTAGTATACACTTTATTTATTTTATTTTATATAAATATTTTTTATAAAGGTTATCAATAAACATAGTTAAACAAATTATTAATTTTTTATTATATTTGTCTACGACTTTTGGCTATATATGTAGCTATGGATTGACACAAGAAAACGCAAAGTTCTTCCTGGAATTTCAGGGCCCCAAACTGCCAACAAAAACCCAAAGACCGCGCTTTCATAAATTAAATAAATCAACAAAGGTTCACAATCCATCCTCTACCACCAAAACCTTAAATATTCCTACTCCTAATCCTTGATTCCCCCATTAAACCCCATCTTTTTCTGTGAAAATCTTGGAATCCCACAATCTTTTTCGAAGTTTGAAATGGAAATTCATTTCCAGCATCAAAATTCAAGAGTTCCTGGTAGCAAAGGTGCCAAATTCAAGAGAAGAAACAGGAGCAATAACAGCCAGTTTGTTGGGGTGAGGCAAAGGCCTTCTGGGAGATGGGTAGCTGAGATCAAGGACACAACACAGAAGATTAGGATGTGGCTTGGTACCTTTGAAACTGCTGAGGAGGCTGCTCGAGCCTATGATGAAGCTGCCTGCCTTCTCCGTGGATCCAATACCCGAACCAACTTCATCACTCATGTCTCCCTGGATTCTCCTCTTGCTTCCCGAATAAGGAATCTCCTCAACGGCAAGAAAGGAGCAAAACAGCAGGGTGGTGGTGAAGTACCAACCCCCACAAGTTGTAGCAACAGCGGTAGCAGCACTGGTAGTAGTTCTACCTGCATCACCGCTGATGGCAGAAGCGGTGAGAATTCTCTTGTTCAAGACACTCAGTCATTTGATGATACATACAAACCAGATATGAGCAACTGCACAGGGGATTTCGAGTTGGGATCTTCTCAATCTGATCTTTCTTGGAGTTCTGAACCAGGACTAGACGGGTTTCTTTCCTCCCAAGAAATCATGGATTTTCCCAATAATGTTCTTCTCTATGAAACTAATACAGGCTCTGAGTTAGCAGAATTCGATAGGATGAAGATGGAGAGATCAATATCTGCTTCACTATACGCAATGAATGGGTTGCAGGAATACATAGAAACCGTCCATGATACTAGTGAAGCCTTATGGGATCTTCCCCCTGTCTGTTCATTGTTTTCCTAAGTGCTTTGGTTTTGATATTCAGTCTTGAATTTCTATCTTGTTCTCCATTCAAAGTCAAAGGAAATACGATATAAACTTTGGTGTAAGGTTTACAATAACAAAGCAACCACCATTTAGATACAATAACATTGTTCTCTCCATATTGAAATTCAGATGACATTTGATGACTTTAAGGCAATCCATATTAGGGAATTTCTATCTAGGTACAAGCTCACGGAGTCTTAGATGATATTCCCCATTATCAATAGCTAAGAATCATATAAGTCACAATTTAAACTCAGAAATTTTAATCACGGCAGGGAAACACAATATATCCTTTGTATACTCCAATTTGATGAACCCCCAAGAAAAGGGGTCAAGGGTGATTCTTTTGCACTCAAACTTGCTGAATTTTTGTTTTGTTCTAGTCTTTTTCTTGTTCTATATCGGATTGCGATCGGATTGCAACACACTACAGAAGAACTATAGTTATATGAGAGGAAGCTATGGATGATGTAATCTTCAACTGTTCATGGCTTAAACTTTCAGGTGGAAAAAATTTTAGAATTCTAATTTAAAAAGCTGATATCACCATTTCTCCTATTTAAGTTGACTTCTTATTCAAAAATAAAGTCATTCAGCTCATCAAGGCTAACTCCATGTTCTCCACATATGACTCCTTGAAGCCTGCACAAGGAACTTCTTCCTTCTTGCAAAATTGTCTGTCAACTCCATTAGGCAACCACAGGCCTTAAGATGACCTTTGCAATGTTCCTCCAATTAGCAATTCACCTTAATAAGAAAATGAATTCAACGAAAGAAAAGTCTGCAACATTTTTTTTCTATTTTCCTCTCATGTGGAGGTGATTTCATGCTTCTGGCATCCGGCACCCGCGCCAGTCTAATTTGGGGTTTGTTGTAATCTTATATTCAAGTGGGATCTTTCTACTATATTAAATTGTTGGTGAGTTGGGTGTTTTTAAGGGAAAAGTAAAAATTAGAACATTTTGATATTTACAAGATTACTTGTAAAATTATTTAAATAATTTTACTAAAATTTATTTATGTGTTAATTCACTAAGGTATTTAAGTCTTTTTATTTTCATTCCTAACATTTAATTGTTAGGACACCTTAATTTTTCTCAATGTCATTTTTTTTATGAGAAACCTCAATCCCATGTTTTGACATAATATCACAATGTCAATTGTTTGCTATCTTGTTTCTTTATTATTTCTTCATCTATTCCAAAATATATATATTACTTTTTTTTCAAATTAAATATTTGAGAGCAATTTATGTATTTATTTATATTACTCTTAAAAAAGAAATAGAAGATGATGTTAGATTTTTTGTTATGGGATAAATAATTAAAGTAAATTTATAACTATAGAGTTAAAGAAAGAAAATTATTTGTTTATTGTAATAAAAAATAAAATAACGATAATTAATTTGAAATAAATTTTAAGTAAAAAAATTATCATTATTTTGAAACAAATAAAGTACTTAATTTTTTTAGTTTACTCGTGACAATTAGATCTTTACATGTTAGTATTTTCACACGTCAGATTATTGTGATTAACTGATTATTGACTTAATCTTAATATATTCAAATTACACGCACCATTCTATGACTGGTTCCTTTTACGTTAGATTCTTTTTGAACTCTTTCTTCCTGGTTGTGTTACCCTT